CTTCCTATTGCTCCCTGGTCTTGCTGGTACCCATTGCCCCCCACCCACAGCTTCTGCTCTCCCAGCCCTGCTGGAGGGGGCTCCCAGTTACCAGGGCTATGGGGCCAGGGACCCAGGTCCACAACCCTCACCCCTGGCAGGAGGTGGTGGCTACTTCAACAGAGTGGAGCCCGGCTCCCTGCCTGCTGTGAGCTGAGGGGGGCTGCTCCTTGCTCTGGCATGCAGTCCTGAGGGGTAGGGGGGGAACAGTGCCCCCCAGATATGTGTATGAGCAGGGGGGCTGCACATTGCCCACTGTGGGATCCAGCCCTGCTGACCTCCCCTGGGGTCTCCAGAGCCTGGCTTCTGTGACCCAGCGCTGCAGGGAACAGCAGAGTCATGCGGGAAGCTGCCTGTCACTGAGTGCCACACTGCCCTAGTGAGATGGCCCCTGCCTGCGTGGCTGCAATGGGGGTGGCAGTGCAGGGTTGCGCACAGGGGGTCTGGGTGGCACAGAGATCTGCACAGCAGGCAGCTTCCTGTGCAGTGTTCCCTGCAGCTCTGGGTCACACATGTGGGGCTGCAGAGGCCCCAAGGAAGGGCAGCAGGGCAGGGAGCATGATCCTGAAGCGGGTAGTGCGCACCCCCACCCTGCACACAAATTGGAGAGACACAGGTCACCCTTGTCCCCCAGGAGTGCACGCTGCTCTGGGAAGCAGCCCCTCAAGCCCACAGTGCACAGCTCACCCCACCCCCACCCCACACACACAGATCTGGGAGGTGCAGGTCCACCTGCCCCTCTGGGAGTGCACAGTGGCGGGGGGCCAGCCCCACAGCCCCATCTCCCCTCCTCCCTCTCCCTCCCTGGACAAGCCATCCACAGCCCCATCCCACTCCCCGCTGGCATGCATTGCAACCCTGGGCCCCAAGCCCCAGGAAGTGCGTGGCTGGGCAGCAGCCCCAGCTCTGCTCAACTCCCTGCTTCCTTCCCTCCCTGTGGGGGTATCAATCCATACCAGTTTACATGCAGGAGCTGCTCTCTAGGCTGCCTGGTGCCATGTGCAGATAAATGCACATAGAACCCCCAGCCTGAGTGCCCTCTTCCTGCTCCCCCCAGCCCCCTGCAGGCTGGAACTCTGCCCGCCTGCAGAGGACTTGTTGCAAAACTGAAAAATCCACAGGTTTGTCCAGTAAAATGAGAAATCCATGTTTGCCTCAGGTACAAGGTAAAATTTGCACTTTACTCTGTTTTTCCATGGGAAGCGGAAAACCTGGATTCCTGCTGATCAGGTAATGTGCTGAATGCCTTCTATTTTAGGGACAATTGAGGACACTCAGCACTTCTCAGCATCTGGTGTCGTCTACTTGTTTAAGAAAAAATAATCCTCAGTTCTTATCTCTGCCAAAAACAAATCTATTATGATAACTGTTCATGTGTGTGCCCTTTGACATTTCACTTAAGTGCTTATTGGCTCAGTTATAGGGATTAATACTGTATATTTGAGAGAGAGGAATAGTGATGCTTAATCAGTGCATTTTAAAATCATGAAAAGTGGAAAATAATGTCATTAAAATATTATGTAGGTCCAAAATGGCAGGCTGGGTAATGAATGGGGGCTCTACCCTTATCAGCATAACAGTTTAGCCCACTGAATAACATTGAAATTCTGCTTGGAGGAAAGCTTAATAACCAGAGTTGGTGGATCAGAACTGGATCTAGAGGATGAGACAAAATAGTTGCAATGGGAAGATGTGACAATAGCTTGTGTTTTTAGCAGCTGAGAAAAGTTCACTACTCAGGATAATTAGTTACCTTCTGGCAGCTTTGTAGTTTCTCATTTGAAATTCAGTTGTGTATCAACCACAAAATGCAGATGGTAAAAATGTATATTTGCAGACATGAGTGACTGGTGCCTCCTGAATCTGGGGGGCACCCACAGAAGCTGCTGACAGCAGTGGCCCTGTCAGAGAGGCACCGGCCCCACTGACAGCATCAGTGTTGGCTGTCGGGCATGTGCACCCCCTACTAGTTGCCTATGTTTGCAGAAGTCTTTTTGAGGACAGAGGTGAGTGAGCGGCAATCTGCTAATGAATTCAAATATATATTATAAATGACAATCAAATTTATAATACCTGTAATAGATTTTCTTGTTGGTAACTGAATCCATTTTGATGCAGTGTAGAACCAACCAGAAAGAAAATTTTGTCCTTTCAAGAAAGAGTAGGAAAAAAGAGAGAATCTTTTTTTTTTGCACCCTGCTTAAAACACATAGCAATGGAATACAAAAGACCTAATTCTAACTGAATTATAGACTTTGTAATAGCTTAACCTGTACCAGCTGGTTTTATAAAGCTACTATACTCCTTGGAGATTAACTGCTTCTCAAGAATTTTAGTATACCAGTTCATCATTACCTTCTAATTTGTATACTAAAATAGCAAAATATATAGGTTAACAGTTGAATTTGTACTAAAAATAACAAAAAATTATATGCTACTTGTGTAATTTATTTATTTTTTATTTCATTGATTTCTATGCTATTCTACCCCAAAAGCTCAGGGCGGCTTACAATATGAAGTCATAAAAACTAGGCAGATAAAATGATAATAATAGAACAGGTTCTCAGAGAATATCAAACAGTTAACCTCATCTGCTGAAAGCCTGCTAGAAGGTCTTACACTGCTTCTGAAAGATAGTCAGGCTTGGGCTCTGGTGGGCATAAGGAAGAGCGACTCCCAAAAATGACCTTCCACATGTTTTGGCCACTAAATTGGGTGCACAGATGGTACTTGCAGGAGGTTGTTCTTGGCTGACATTAGGGATCATGATGAAGCATAAGGGAGAAGGCAGTTTCTTAGGTATGTAGGGTCTAGAGCATTTAGGGCCCGAGCGTGCTTTTGTGTATAATGTACTGGTAGATTTGGTGACATCTTTCCCTCCATCCATTATATGTTTTGTTTTCTTAGATTGAATGCTCTAGGAGCAGGGACCAAGTCTTTGTTCTGTTTGCTGGTCAGATTTTGACCAGGGACTTCAAATAATTCTGTGGAGTACTGTAGTCCATGTTAATTAATAAGTTAAAAGTCTGATTCTGAAAAGGTTTGGCATATAGAGTTTCAATAGATTTAATTGTGGATTCTCAGGATTAGGCCCTAACAGAGAAAAATAGTGTGCAAGGGAGCACATGGAGATGGTATCCATGGAGTGACTTTTTTGTAAATTTTACTTTAATCAGATGAATAAGTTATTTCTATTTTGTATCATTAAGTCATATTGTCACTTGAGTTCGAATTTCCTTTGGACACACAGAGTGCATCTATACATGTACTTTACTGCAGAGTTGACTAATTAGCTCCACAGTAAAGCAGCATCTACGTGTGAGCTGGTAGTAGTGCCCAGTAAATTGGCTAACTCCACCATAAGATAGTACTGTCAGGGACAGTATTATCTTACATCACAATACTTAATTCCTCCTAAACACACATGTAGATGGTGATGGGCTGACTGGGGCATGAGGGTGCTAAATTGTGGGGGCTGCCTGTCAGGTAGTCCTACATTTTAGCACCCTTGTGCCCCAGCCAGCTCCTCTGGAGCCTGAGGCTGCTCCGCCCCAGTTCACACTTCTGCCATCCTGGGCGCATGTGCAGACGCTGTGCCCAGGAGAAGCTAACTGTGGCATAAACTGCACTCAAGTCTATCGTATTTCCTTAATGGCATATGTAGATGTACCCACAATAAACAAACCATCAACAAGAAAGCAAACCTGCTACAATAAACTGCTTTCTTTTGTGTGGAAAGCTGCCATGGTTTTATATGTAGTGTTCTGCTTCATCTGTCAATAGCACACTACATAAAAATATCCCTTCCTTTAAGAACATGTGGTATTTATACATTCATGAACATCTGAGGTTATATTAATCCTATTATTTTCAAGTTTACTCCTTTTTTTTAATAGTTGTTTTAAGTGTGTAAAAGCAATTGATTTTTTTCAAAAGCATAATGGTTTTTAGATATTCATTGGTTTGAACATAAATTATTGTAACACTCTAGCTTTAGATTAAGAATGGTTTTATATTGAATAACCAGATTTCTGTTTCTGGAAAATTGTAATTTTATAATGTTGGATCGTGTCTGATTGAAGGCATTCCATAAGATTATAAGGAAATGATTGCAGCTTAGTCAGATACATATGTCATCTTACTTTTTTCTGTTTTCAAGTTGAATACAGAAAATAACTTGCTGATCAGCATCAGGTGTATCCTCTTACTTCAGAATATTAATACATGGGGGGTTGTGGTTTTTTGGGGGGGGCCTTTAATAAAACCTGTTTTGGAGGAAAGGACCTTATGTGTGCATCTGAAATGATCTTTAAAATGCTAGTATAGGAGTGCATACATATAGAGTGTCACAAAGTTAAATTTCATTATCTTTAAAATGAGACTTGTTTAAAACAGGCAGGCTTGCGAGATCAGATCATGCAAGAGACATAATAAGTAGGTTTTTTTGCAGCCTGGGCATCCATGGCAGTGGACTGCCAATCATGCATCCCTCTCAAAGTCAGGTCTAGAGGCTAGTACCCTGTTTACCCACCCCTAGTTATGCTACTGCTGTACAAAATAGTGACCAAAGTGAGGCTTTGGTTTTTACAATATAGCCCACACCCGTCCTCCATTTTTAATATAGTAATGGAGCTGACAGAAACTATGAATATGTGAGACGCCATCATGATGCAAGCAGTCACAGCCCATATCAGTGATAAATTCCATGAAAAAAATTCTTTTGTTTGATAGCAAATGTATTTTGGAAGCTAGGACAAGGTTTTTTTGGGGGGCATTTCCACACATAGCTGCCATTGGATTCATTTTAAGCTGATTAGGGACAGCCTTCAGGTTACAGTTTGTCAAATTTTGAACATCTGAATATTTAAAATGAGAATCCCTGCTATTGAAGTACTTTTCTGATATATCATTTTAATGGAAAAATGTGTACTTTGTATGTATTGTCTCCTTCACTCTTTCAGTACTCTATAACATCTCTCAAGACCATCCCAGAATTATGTAGAAGGTGTGATCCCCAAAATGAAGACAAACCAGGTATGCTGCCAATTTTTGTTCACCCATCTTCTTCCTGCTTCCCTTTATAAAACAAAAAAACCAAGTCTTTACCTTCTGGTAGTATTCTTTTATTTTGTTTTCTTTTGTTTTTCTACTGCTTTATGGAAACATAGATCCTCCCCCACTACTCTCCAACAGATGTTAGTTCATTAGGGGGGAAAAGTTCCAAAAAAGGATTTGGCTGTATACAGATAAACATAGGGCTTCATCTCAGCAGCTCCAAACCACAGTATATGCAACAATTTACTTGAAAACCCGAGAAACCATTGGTGACAAGACATAATGATGTAGGCGCCAATGAAAAAATGTTGGATACATTTACTACCCATATGGCCATGACCAGTTTTGAGGGATGATGTTTTGCCAGAATCTGAAACCCTATCAAGGATGCTACAAGATAGAATCTACTCTAAGTCATACTGCAAGAGTTAAGATTAAAGCAGAGTTTTTTTAGTTTAATAGTGTAAACTAAATGAAGAGTCATGGTATATAGATGAGAACCAGCTGGGAACCTTTTCCCCCTACTGACAAAAAGTGCATTCAATGTTGTTTTTCATTCTGTAAATCAGATTAAGCCTCTTCTGTTATTTCTCTTTGTAATGACCAAAATGAATTGGTGAGAGCAGTACTTTTGTATTGAACTATGAAAAGTTTATTATGCCTCCACCTGATGCCTTGAGTGTGCTTTCATTAATACTGTTAAATCTAAAAGAGTTACAGCTGAAACCTGAAATCTATGGGAAGATGGACAGCTTTAAGAACCGTGCCATACTTTGGCAACTTTTATTTCTGTATTTCCTTTTACAGAGTTGTAAATTACCAAGGTTTGTAACTAAATTTGAAGCTTTCTAATAGCTTCTCCTCCTGCCAGAATCATTAAGGGCTAACTTGTCACGGCCTTATGCAGCTGTACTTGGGAACAGAGGGAAGCAAAGCCCCTCTTACTTCCTTTCTCACCCTTTCTCAGCTTGTAATAAGCTTCAGAGAGGAGGAAAGGGATTATTCACACACAGCTTCCTGCTGCAAGCAATTGGGTACAGAAGGAGTGGAGAGTAGGAGCAGCCCACACAAACATATATGCTCACTAGCAAGAGGAGATGGTCATGGCCTGGTGCAGGATGTCAGCTGTTGTACAAAAAAGGGCTAAAGTAACTTTTACTCCTCACAGAGGAAGAAGGAGCAGGAACTGTAAATGCAACAAATCACAGTTCAAGCTTTGATCTGTCCCTTAAAGCCGTTTAGCCAGAATGGAAAATTGAGCAGGTCTGCTCAACTCTTGTTTACAAAATCAGTTTCTGTCCTTTAAATTTGGAGCAAAGAGTTTGACAACATAATCCTATGTAAACTTATGACATGAGCTTGGGTATTTGTTACTGGTTCTTCCTAAATATCCTGGGATGTTCATGGCTCAGTGCAGCTGTGAATATAGAAAATTGTTCATGCAGCTGGATTGTTTCAGGGTCTATTCCAGGAAGGTTTTTGTTACTCCTGTGAAAACTTATTGTCTTCTGTAGGGATAGACAGAAGTAAATTTAGGCACTACTGGAAGAGAGTACTATGACTGAGTACCTACGTATGTAGTAAAATAAGAAGCTGCCATTCTTTATTCTTGGCATGGGTACATAAGTGTAAAATATCAATAGAGCTACATCAGTTTACAGTAGCTAAGGATCTAGTCTGCTGTTTTCTCATAGTCACATTTGAGGTGGTCTCCATTCTTCCTGATTTGCAGAGCATAGAGAATCTGTTAAGTTCATAGATGTAGGGTCGGAAGGGACCTTGTAGTATGACCCCCTGCCCTGTGCAGGAGAGAAAACTGGGCTCAAATGACCCCAACCAGGTAAACGTCAAGCCTCCTCTTAAAGACCCCCAGGGTAGAAGCCATCACCACTTCCCTTGGAAGTTGGTTCCAGATCCTAGCCGTCCTGACTGTGTGAAGTAGTGCCTTCTAAGGTCTAGTGTAAACCTACTCTCTAGCACCTTATGGCCATTATTCCTTGTTACTCCGGGAGGCGCTCATGGGAACAAGGTCTCTCCCAAATCCCACTGGTCCCCCCTAGTAAGTTCTTCAAGTTGTGGTTGTTGTTATATTATTTCCACATAAACATAAACTATATCCCAGACCTATAGACAACATTTAAACAGCTGTAAATGAATGATAACCACATATGTCAGGGGTATAGGTTGTAGCCATGTTGGTCTAAGGACATAGGCAGACAAGGTTCTTTGAGTAGATATTGGATTTACCCAAACAACCTTGTATATATGCATTTTTATGGACAGTTTACATAATAACTATATACCAAACAACTCTGCAGTTTTATGAAAAGCTGGTCCAGTCCCCTGACTTTATTAATCATTCCTGTAGTTTGAAGGTCATGTTTTCTTTTTAAAAATACTCAAAAGGGTAACTTGATAACACAACTAAGGGGAACCTATACATGAGCACAGAGGCTTGTTATTCCAGTGGGTTACAAAGCGTTATTACAGAGACTCTCCACATCAACCTTTGTGTCTCCTGTATCAGTGTCCCCACACTTCAGAATGGTGGCAGGGGCACTTTATCTAAAGCTCATCAAATAAACTTTAGATAAAATGCCCCTGCCACCGTTTTGAAGTGTGGGGACACTGATACAGGAGACACTTTAGGCATTTTAATTAGTGACTCCTGGAGCTATTTTAATTAAAGCCCCAGAGCCCGTACATATATGCCCCAAGAGTAACTTTCTGAATGAATGTGAGAGGCTAGGATTTCTTAGGGTGGTATCTGCTAGTGGGCCAACTGTATAGTTGGAGTAAAGTAAGACAAGATTTTGAATGGGTTGAAGACACATTTCCAGCCTTCCTGTCCTGCCCACATGTGGCTCCCCCTGCCTGACACTGATAAATCCACATAGTACAGATGGTGCAGGGCTTTAAAGCTGAAGGTTCACATAGAGACTCGGATCACCTTGCTGGGGTGGCCTGACCCCTGGTGCAGGGGGCTGGGCCCACCCAATGATCTTCTGAGGTCCCTTTCAGCCTTATAATCTATGAATTGGACTCTAGGACCCCTTGGGCTCCTCTACACATGCAATTAGTGCACATGAATACACTCTGGAGCTAACTACAGAGATTTTTGCTCCTGGGCATGCTTTTTGAACATATGCCTGGGAGCAATTAACTCTGGAAAAATCAGCTCTGGAGTTTATTCATGTACAGCACACGGAGCCTGGTCAGAGCAGCCCCGGCTGTCATGGGGCTCCAGGGCCTGGGGCTGCTTCCCCTGACACAACATGCTGCAGAGGAGCTGGCTGAGGTCGAAGGGTGCTTCAGCACAGGGCTACCCAGCAGGCAGCCCCCTGCATTGAAGCACCCTTGTGCCCCAGCCATCCAGGTTAGTGTCTACATGTGCACTGAGAAAAGTCTGCAGCAGGGTAGAATCAAAAGAGAGGAATAATATGAGGAAAACTTTTGAGTATTTTCTATCCCAGATAAGGACTGTTCAGGGTCAGAATAAGTCCCAAAAGGCCTTCATGGCTGTCTACTTGGGAGGTAACTAGAATGTAAGGTCTCAGACGTGAGAAGTCTGCAGCAGGGTGGAATCGAAAACAAAAATTAGGGTTGGAAGGGACCTCAGGAGGTCATTTAAGTTCAACACCCGGCACAAAGCAGGATCATCCACCACAAAAGTATTCTAGCCAGGGCTTTGTTAAGTTGGGCCTTAAAAATCTCCAAGGATGGAGCTTCCACCACCTCTCAAAGTAACCCATTCCAGTATTTCACCACCCTCCTAGTGAGAGAGGGAAATTTAGGTTGGATATTAGGAAAAACTTTCTTCAGTTTGAGACCATTGCTCCTTGTTCTGCCATCTGCCACCACTGAGAACAGTCTACCTCCATTCTCTTTGGATCCCCCCTTCAGGTAGTTGAAGGCTGCTATCAAATTCCCCCCTCCCTCTCAGTCTGCTCTTCTGCAGACTAAATAAGCCCAGTTCCCTCAGCCTCTCCTCAGATGTCATGTGCCCCAGCCCCCAAACTGTTTTTGTACTACCATGCTGCAGAGTGTATTAGCTCTCCGCACCCTAATAGGGCACATGTGCAGAAACTGAGAGGTTTACTGTGGAGTTAATTAGTCAGCTCTGCAGTAAATGTCTCCTGTAGACATGCCTCCTGAGTACTGCAAAGTGCAAGGGCACATTACAGCAAGAAGCACAACAACAGGAACTGGGTCCCTGATACTGGGGTCCCACACACCAGTCGTTGTATGGTTGGGATCTGACTCGTATTATCCCAGATTCTGAAAATTGTGCATCCTGTCATTGTCTGATTTTGGGGATCTATGATAAAATGTATCAGAATTCAATCGTGCAACTAACTTAATGACTACAGTGGGTCTAACAGAGTTAGTGCAGCTTGAGGGTAGTGGCTCTTCTGTAGATCTCTTAGCCATGTAGAATTCTTGTTTAAAAGGATAGCCCATGCCTGTAGAAACTGAGACGCATCTAGGAGAATAGATATAACTACTAGGGCCCCTAAGATTCTGAGGTATTGTAAGGATTTAAGGAGGAAACCACTTCCTATTCAGGCGAGAAAACAAGCAGGGAGGATTTGGTTCCATCCAAGTCCTGCAGAAACAAAATAATACGAGGAAAAATTTTGAGTATTTTCTATCCCAGGTAAGGACTGTTCAGGGTCAGAGTAAGTCCCAAAAGGCCTTTATGGCTGTCCACTTGGGAGGTAACTAGACTGTAAAATCTCAGATTAAACATGATTCCAGGTAATCTAGTTTCTTATTTGGTATAATCAGTCTGTCACTTCGTTTCCAGTATTTTTTTAGATAGAATGGCGAGTGGGACAGAAAAGAGCTTTTATCTGCTTGTTAGCAGGTTTTGAAATTGTACATTTTCTTTCTCTTAGTAAGTGAGCATCATGGATCTGGGTTGTTTTAGTAAGACCATTTGAGCAAATAATTCATTATATCTGCTCAGCAGGTCTCAC